CAATGTACCTCTTGTTCTGGACTGTTGTCATACATATAATGCCTAATCATATATTTCTTTTAAATAGTTATTTCCTTCATATTTTTAAATGTCTTTAACTTGGAAATTATAAATTCCATAAAATTGATATTTTGTGTGTATATATGGAAGCTTTAATGAATCCAATTGTTTTTATGTTAAATAGTAGGGTTCAATATGAAGTTGTTTTAATATTTTTCTTGTAATACTCATTTTAAGAAATAATACACTTACAGTTTTAAAGGTGCTAATATTAAAAAAAATAGTCATTTAGTTTAATCTATCCTGTAATTCAACACATTTTCCATAAAATATTCTTAAGAGCCTATAGTAAGCATTGGATTAGACATTTGCATACTCTTTTCCCCCCTGTATTTACCCTCTGACAGAGGTGTTAATGAGCAATAAATTGGTGCTAAAGTGAAATCTCAGGAGAGAGAAAGCAGAAGTCAGGTGACATGCAAATGCTTATTGAAAGAGAAATCAGTCCTCAAATATCAGCTGACATTTTATTTCAGTCCACTGTGTCAATATATCTAATTAAAGGTCTTCTTTCCTAAACTCTCTTACCAAATATGATAAAGAGCTGCTCCCTCCTGGTAATACGTTCAAAGTATATGAGATAAAGTCTCCCTATTTTTCTTCTAAGGAGCATTCTGGCTGCACTTCTACCAAGACAGTTTTGTACATTCTTCTGGAAGACTACGTATTCAATGAACTCACTAACACCCTAATTCAAAGGCATTAATTCTTCTTTAGCCTTCATTCATCATTGTCCTGGTTCTGCATGCATTTGAGATGATTGAAACTCTTAAAAAACTAGGTCAGGCACATCAGAGAGCTGGAAAGTTACTAAAGATTACAGAAGAATGAACGCCTTTGAGTTGTGGTGCTGGAAAAGAATTCTGAACATTCAAAGGACCCCAAGAGAAGAAACAGATTTGTCTTAGAGGGGGTGAAACCAGGTTGATCTTTGGAGGCAAGGATTTTGAAGCTCCATCTGACATACTTTGGACACATTGCCAGGAGGGACAAGTCATTGGAGAAGGACAACATGCTTGGGAAGGAAGGGTGGAGGGACAGTACAGGAGAGGAAGACCCTGGATGAGAGAGCTAGGTATGTTGGAGACAGTGAAATTGGGTCAGGATAGGGCAGGTTTAGATCTGCTGTGCATAGGGTCACTATGAGTCTCAGGTGACTTGAAGGCACATATCAACAACAATTACAGTGGGTATTGCAAAGTTATATCATTCTAGTAAATTTTCTGTAATTTAAATTACTTCAAGAATGTAATAATAGTCATATGACTATATGGCTAGGATAAATTGGAAAATTTGTACCTGATTTTTCTGATTTTGTTTTCTATCTCTGATCCTGCATGATAATATGACTGTCTTCTAATTACTGAATAGCAATTTTAAGAACAAAAGCAAATAATGAAAATTAAAATTTAAGCTGATACTTGTCAAATATCATTCTAATAATGCGAGATTTATGAAATTTAAATATTTGAATGGACAAATCACATGGCTTTATTAAGAAGTATGGACTTGTTTTCAAAATATGGCTCAGATGAACATTCTAAGAAGATAACAATTTTGTTTTTTAGAGGAAAACAAACCCAAGCCTGGATTTATACTCTCTTATCATTTAAAAAAAAATAAATACAGTGGCAATAACAATAAAAACAACAATCTTGATATTTATTTATCTTATAATTGTTACTCTCAAATATTTCACCTTAGGAAGTTTGGGAGATGGCACACTCTTTGGGTTGGCTGACATTTAGTTTTCAATCTGGAAATTGGCTGTCATCATAAAACTTTGTTCTAAAAATTATGCTTCTATGAGTGGGTACATTGGAGCTGGAACTCTAAAGAAGAGGTACAAAAATATATAAATCATAAGAATTCTGGCATTTTCAACTTCTCTATTAATACAGACCTATTCTACATCTATTTAGAAAAACAGACTTGACTCATTCCTGACCTAATGAATCAGATACATAATATGCTCCTTTTTTCATTATAAAATTATTTCCTGAGGAATAAATGAGGGCAAATGAAGTGACTTATTTCCCACTTTGCACAAAAATGATACAAAGCTCAAGTGGTTTATAAGATTGGAAAAGGAAAATCCTCACCAAATTGAATTAGAACTCTCATACTTGCTCATTTTCTTTTACTACAAGTATTTGCCTTACTGAAGTGCTTAATAGAACTATAAATGTCAATAAGGAAAGGAAAGCACTGCCAAAAAGATAATGTAAAAAAGCGTCTCCAGGCTGGAAAATGAGACCTAGGTCAATTCCCCCCCCACCTTTGTAAGAGCATGTAGTTTCAAGTTTTTCCATAAACAATTGGTTCAGGCTCTCATGTAAGTAAACTAGGTGAAGCATTGTAAGATGTTAGAATTGTTTCAAAAATAGAATATCAGAACATTTCACCTTGATTGACTTCTACATGATAGCATGAGTTCTGCCAACACACTCCCAATTAAAACTAGTGGAAAAATCCAAAACTACAAAATCAAAACTAAGAATTTAAATGTTCTGTGATCTCAAGAGCAGACATAAAACAAAGAAACAACCATTCAGTATGATTTATTTAACTTTGGGGAGGAAATAGAAGTTGAAACATTTGAATAATTAAGTTTTAATTATTGTTTATAATACTTATGAACAACTATACGACAAAATATAGAAAACTCTCTCAGCTTTAGAATGATTAAAAAACCAAAAGTTAGAAGGCTTCAATTTAAGATGATGAATCATAATTCTATTAAATAGGAAAACTAGCTCATAAACCATAGATTCTCCCATAGTGAATTGAGCTGCTAATTTGAACATGATAAATATATGGATGTTCAAATCCATCACTGGCTTCATTTGAGAATAACAGATAATCTCCTCCTATGAGATTTATTACCTGCTGGAGGGTCAACTGGGAACTGATTCTACTCAAAGGCAGTAAGTTTGATTTTTAGTTTATCCTCAGATGCAAATGCAAAGTGGGTGGTTCAGAGAATTACCTCAGAGTTATAAATTTTGGAAATATATTCAATAATCAATAGAAAAGTATGTTTCTAGACTTTTTAAAAATGAAAATGTGACATTCTGTTGTCTGTTTGCAATTGCTACTGATAAAGAATGTAGAATCACAGATTTATATTACAATTAGGGAGTAGGGAGAACTTCATTTAGTCTCATTTTATTTCATTTTTCCCTTCCAATATTTTAGTGCAACTAATATGTGTCAGGTAACTCCCTAGACAGTATTATTATTTATTATTAATTATTATAACTATTATTGAATAATTATTAATAAAAATGAAATAAGCATTTCTCTTTTCAAAACACTCATATAACTACAATAAAGAAGCAGATATTTAAACTTTCAGTGGAAAAAAAACATGTGAGTAAAGCTGGAGCTTTTAAAGCTAATTTTGTATACTAACTCAAATTTTCTTAGTGCATGTGAAAGGAATAGAAAACAGAACATGGAGGCACAGGACCATGTGTGTCTTTCTGAAAGGGCAAAGCAGAGTGTGGATTGCATAGCCTAGCTTCTCACTGTCCCAGAGCAGAAAGCAGATAAAGAGCCCATAGTCCAAACCCAGGCTGTAGCAAGACCTTTATTTTTTGTCAACTAACAGACTTTACTCACAATGGGGTTTATTAGAAAAGTAAATTGGAGAGCGAGGGGGCAAAGAATCTCTAACACTGCAAACCTAGTAGTCCAGAAATTCTAGTTCAAGCTCTGGTTTCTTTTCAGCAACAGAAATTAAGAAACCTCTGGTTTCCTCAAAAGGCCAGTAAATTTTGCCTCAGAATAGGTATATGTCAGCTTTTTCTTCAATTATTTGACAAGAATAGCAAAATATTTAACTGTTACCTTTATCTCATGGCTCCTCTGGTTACACCTTGTCACAGTTTCTCCACCACAACGTTGCAGTCTCTCCACTGCCATCATCAAGGTCTTGCTACTAAGGTCTCACCTCCAGGGTCTTACTCTGGTCTCCCTCAAGTCTTGTTGTTTAGTGCAGGAAGCACTCTCTCTTGCTCTTATCCTAGTCTTACAGGTGTTGATGATTTGCAAGACCATGTGTCTACAGTTAAGGTAGCTGGAGACCAGAAGGGGCTAAGGTAATGGCTAAGAAAAACTAACTGTAGGCTAAAAGAGAAATACCCTTATCTCTCTGTATGTATGTCTTTCTATTTTTTCTTTGTTGTTTATTATTGTTTATCATTCTGCATATCTATCCTTTTAGATCCAGGCCTAGTTAAAATTATTCTGAATGAAAAATTGAGGACAAGCTGGTGACTTTGATCTGTGGATAACACACACACACACACACACACACACACACACACACACACCTTCTCCC